TTTCCCGGTGAAATAGTGCACCTAAAGATAACGGCCGAAAAAAACTTATTTCGCTAGCAATTCGGAAACAATATAACAATTCTAAAACAAGAGATATTTTTTAAAGGTTGTGAAGTATTTTTTCCAAAATTCCTTGAAAAGCGATTTTTTTTACGAATTTTGTAATTCAGGTAAAATTTCATTCATCAAACATAGCTCAACTTTGGCGACTAAAATCGGCCATTGTCACGTGGCTCCATAGACTGACCATGAGACAATAACCATTCTCAAGAATAAGGTTTCTTTTTTTAGAAACTGCAATAAAGTTTTTGGGCTACTCAAACCACTAATTTTTAGAGCGATTTATATAAGTGTATTTGAGATCAAGAGGCGCCTTACGTGACCAACATGACTTGCACGTCACATCAAGAAAAACATTACCAAAACACTCGAATTCCCTCTTATATCATATAAAAACTTCGAAACAGGTCTCCTTCATGTTAAATATACATATAATTTTCTCCTGAAGCCAAAAAGTCATAGCAATCTGGGCAATTTTCGATAGTCTAGTATATGCAAATTACTAGTTCATGTTGTTACAACGGTCATATTCGCAACTAATACTGCAACCCAACGATAACAAACGCTGTTTTAGCATCAAAAGGAATTGTCCAGGCTATAATTACACAAAATTTTACCTTTAGGAGTGGTTTCCATGCCAAGAGTATGCACTTTAACCCGCTCCACCGTTTTCAAGACTTATCCATGCTACCATTTCTCGCCACCACAGCGCGATCGATGGTATGTGATTGCGTTACACACGGGAAGCCCATTAAGTGAAAATAATGAATAAGATGACCAACGTTTTTACCAGAACAAGGTTGGTCTTTATAAAATCCTTCGATGATCCTTACATGTTTATGTAAACGTGAGGTTTTCACTGCCAATTTTTTTTTATAACAAAGCTACAAAGGGACAATGTCATATCGTAGCTGTGTATGACGCATATGCACCTATTGTACTTATTTCTCTCAAGGTAGTTGGAATAATGTTGGTGTCCCTCTAATCCAGGAGTCATTACTTTCTGAAAACGAAGACTATGGTCACTTCCAGCTGGAAAGTTCCTATT